CCCTATAGGCCCCAAAAGCCTCCAAACCCTACAGTTTCCTGAAACCAAAACCTCGCTGAGCTGTCCGCACGCCTGTCGGCGGACCAGGAGCGGCAGGTGCTGAATGCCCACTTCGCGGACGGCTGATGCCTCCGACTATCGTGGGATAACGAGAACATGCGAACTTTCACTTGCAATCTCTTTGGCATATGATTACAATAAGCTTGTTTTACGATCCTTTCTTACACTGACAGAAGCTGCTGGACAACACATGCCTGGAGTCCAAAGGCGCGTCGGTGGCGGGGCATCTGGCGGTGACGGCGCGGGAGGACGCATGTTGGAAACTGAGGTGCATAAGAGCATCGACGGATCTGAGATCAACATGCGAGCTTTGCTTTCTGCTTCCACTTCGTACCCCGTCATGTCAATATCGCCAACATCCCCCTGCATCTCTGCAGCCGCAGGAACGGCAGTCCTCCGGGTGCTGACTCCGCGGCTTCTTAGACCTCCGAGAACATCCGAAAGCACCGTTTCGCACCACTGCACCACAAGTAAGGGTTGCCGGAAAAATATGCTTTCGCGCGGAAGTAGCAACCGACAGCGAAACAAAAAACCTTAACTTACCGAAAAGTGGGACTCCGACAGCAAGACAGGCCATTTCCACTTCTTCTTTTCGGGCAGGATGTGTTTGGCGTCCTGCGTGGGCTCTGTCTTGGGAAGCTTGGGAGGATTTGGGGTTTGTATTTACCCGTTGTGGCAGCCTGGAACAAGATCACTTTGCTGTGAGAACCACTTTCATCATTTCTTTCTGTCTTCCTTCCGTTTGTCCCTTCCTTCATTCAATGCCGATGAAACTAGTGAGAAAATAGATAGATGTTTTCCAATTCAAGCATAGATAAATGGGGGTTCGCCTGCCAAAATATAGAGAATATGGCGAAAATAGAAGCTGTTTCTATGGAAGTATCGAGAATCCACCCCCGAAGATAAAAAACAAAGAAATAAAACAAATAAATATAAAAGCAACAAAAAAGATGCCAAAAAATAGGGTCCCCCGTCCTTGGCGGTTTGCAGTTCTATGGTCTGGGCTTGGATGGTGGGCCTTTGTCCCGAAGGGCTTCTGGCCACTCGGGATGCTGTTTCGGGGGGCATTTTTTGGGGGAGCTTTTCTCTGAGAGCCGCGCAAACCCCTGCCCAGGAGATGTGCAGCAATAATTATCATGTGGAGGGTCCCTGCATTGTAATTAGGGCTCCGGACCCATCAAGCGGTAGCCGGTCACCTCCCTCAATCCTGCAGTCCCCGCCAACCTAAAGCCATCAAACCGCTGAATTACGCCAGCCAGCGAGGGTTTTAGGGCCACTGCCAGAACTTCCAAGAACCGCTAGCCTGCATTGCTGGCGCTGCAGACAATACAACACCGAACCAGCCCAGGGGGCCTGCCAGTGCAGGAGCTTTCCGGGCAAGATGTAGAGTATTTACGGCAGCGCCTTCGGCAATCATGCTTAACTAGTGTTGCGGTACTCCTTGGTTCCGGACTGTCACGCAATGCTGAGATCAAGATAACTTGTTGAGGCCAAACCCTGCAACCTTAAACCGCCGGCGATGCCAACTGATGCTGTCTGCACGCAGCCCAGAAGCTCCATAGCCTCAAGAGATCGACAGAGGACAAGGACACAACTTCTCCAACCAAAGGTGAAGATGTACTTGCAGGGCAAGTTCAGCGTTGACACTAGGTTCAATGAGTGATCACCTTGAGCAATATGGGTCCCTGCAGCACGGCCCGCTAATAATGGAACTTTTCCTACTTCTGACTTCTGGGAGCCTGATGTCGCAGCACTGTAGAACGGATCCATTCCCTTATAAACGCTGTTGGAGCGGGAAAAACATTAAATAATTGAACTCCCCGCATCCAACACGGCTCTAAATTCGGCTGAAGGAAGGCAGAGGCTAGTGGCTAGTGATCGCGACGCCAGTGTGGTACCGACCCCAAGAAAGGACAACAGCACGCAAACATCCTCTCCCCTGTCACGTACTCTTGCCAACTCACCAAAAAACCTTTACCATACCTAACCGGCCCGCACTCCCAACAACACCCTTCGCTCCAAACAAAACTGGAGTTGTGGCCACAGCGCCTTGACTTGTGATGAAGACAGAAGTCCCAGCCCCATGGCGCCGAAATCAAACACACGCTGTCTTACAACTCTTCGAAGGCAGTTTGTGCGCAAGCTCTCGAGGGCGAGTCGCAGTTGCTGACATGAGCGTGTGATCGCTAACTGTGCGCTCCCTATCACGGGAACAGCTGAAACAACTACAAACATGGACAAAAAACTCGGCAGCTCCAGTACTTGGCCGGGTCATGTGTATAAACGTGCTTGGACCTCGACTCTGATATTATGTTTTCTTCCCGCCGTCATCGTACACTGCAGCTAGGACGTATGCCTGCTGCGAAAAGAGACGCCTGACCTCGACTGACGAGAGATATTGCGTCACCCCGCAGAGGCTGGATGTCCACACAGCTCTGTGCCACAGCGCCCAAAGGCCTCACAGGCTCAGGGCAACACGCATTCAACATGTTGAGCCTCGTTGCGCATGAAACCCGAACGCAGCATTCGCAGGAACAGACCCAACAACAGAGCATACGCTCCTGTACTTGGACTGCTTCTCTTCTTACTGCGCTTGTTGCTGTTGCTGCTACTCTCGCTTCCCTCTCGAAAGTTGACTTTCCACTCTTCGGAAGGCTAGCTGACGAGTGACGCCACAGCTGGAAGGCATGCAAGCGCCGCTGCCCTGGGCGCCAGCAGTTTTGGAGTATTGGGGGGGGGGGGGGAGAGTTTGTGGTCATTGTGGTGGTGAGTGCAGGAATACTAGATGGGATATACTCCTTGTCCCCCCATCCGCCCATCCGCATCCACCACTAAAAGCAGGGCGGAGGTCCATGAAGATATAGCTTCCATGGAATCCGGCCTGAAGAAACACTCTCCAAGACCACAGCCACCTTTCCGGACTCAATCGCAGAAAGCCCGAACCGAGCCAATGACCCCACAGTCGCGGCTCAAAATTGTCAGCAAACCCTAAACCTTATGATGCCAGCGTAGACCCAACAGTGAGAGACCACATGGGGACTGGACCTCTGGACGTCCTCGGGGTACAATCTTTGTACTACAAAACTGGTTTGTCGAGCAGCCAGACCGGATGATCTGCAAAAACACCAAAAGCAACGACAGTTTCGCAAGTCGCGAACCCCGACGTCCAAAAATGCCGACAGCGTCGCACGCGGCGAAACCAGGCATCTAAAAGCGATGACAGTAACGAGGATAGCGACGTCAATGCGCACGGTGCCTATAGCGAGAGCGCGATGTGCAACTCGCGAATAGCAAATCCCCCTTAAGTCCGGCCGAACACAGAGAACCCATCAACGAAGGATTCCAAGCGCCCGCCACATTTTCAGGATGCTTAGCGACGCAAGCCTCGAATCACAGGACCCAGGCGGAGAGCACGATTTCCTCCCGCCAGCACCACAAATCCGCACGTGGCCTAGGCGAGAGGGCGGTTCGACACCATCCACGAAGCAAAAAGCATGTGATGTTTCAAGGCACCGAGAAATCTTCGTCACCACCCGCCGCAGTGTGGAAAAAGTACGATGTTCGTCAAATTGCGACCACCACTCGAGGAACAACGTCCGCGTACGGTGCGCACGCGCCCGTGCGCGCAGCTCAACCCTTTGACTTTGAATGTGTAGGAACCCCAAGTGTTGGCACAATGTTTGGGGAACAAACCCTATACCTTAAACCCTAAACCCTCTACCGAACCAAGCAGCTCCAGCAAAGTGGCCAAGGATGCCGATGGCGACTACCAGAGTCGGGTCGGAGCCTTGGGGCGTCGGGTGTGGGACGTAGTGTTTGGGGGTTTCAATGGGGCTGGGGCGCATCCATGACTTCTGAGGGCCCTTGGGCCCTGGAGGCCCGCAGGCCTTATTGGACTACGACGGGCCAAGCTCCGAATGCCAAGCCTCATGTAAATATCACAATTTCTCTCAGAGCCCTTAGCTTGAGAATTCTGAGTTCCTGCAAGATCGGGTTTCTTGCGCTGATAGTTGCCGCGGACATGAAAGAAGCAAAAGATTGACAACATACTGCCAGTGCAAACCATTGCTGAGGTGGTGGACATCGTCGTAGTAGGCCTCGACGGCCTCCCAAGTGCTGGTGATCCTTGGAGGCAGACGTTTAGGGCACAGGGTAGGGGCATCCTCAGGGGATTTAGGGATAAATAAGCAACTCAAGGAGGATGTCATTTGGGGTGTGTACCTGGGAGCACAATTCCCTGATTAGTGGTTTGTGAACTCTCGGCAATTTGTGGGTGCTACAAAAAGGTACCGAGGGAAAGCATACAGCATACAAATTACGCATTGGATTCTGAAACTTTGGAGCTATGCATAGGGCCTCGGCAGGAAAGCACGTCTTAGGACATCACTACATGATCCACTAAAGAGTTCCAAGATGCCCACGTTGTGCGTGCGTACTGTTTAGCAATCCAGTGCCCGTAGCTCCCATGTAACATCCGGAAAGGGTGGATTCCTGCGCCGGGCCATGCTGAAGTTTCGAATGCCATCAGCTTTCCTGATTCCTGCGTTTCTGCTTCCACTTGGTAGCCCAGTTACTACTGGTGCTGCCTTGGAACCTTACTTTTGAGGGCGACAGGGAGAGGGCTGCCATCTTGTGTGGGGGCCTCATATCTGAGATGTAAAATAACCCCTCCAAAGCCCTGTAAGAGGCTGCCTGTACCGGCAAGCCTGCTGGACCCCCCAGAACCCAAAAGCAAACCCAAAAACAAACCCAGAACCCAAGCCCCTCTGAAGCCCTAAGCTCTACAGACTCAACCCCAGACCCTTAAACCAATCCCTGACCTTCACCAGCCCCTTTAGGGTTTGGGGTGCAAAGATTGGTGTAGCAAAGTGTCGAGCTCCCACCGTCGGAAGAATTCCCGGCTGCACGGGAAAGCATAGCCCGACTTTCACAGAATCTTCTCAGAAAAGGTGAAGGCCTACCTCCACGCGAGAATGAATCTCAAAATGCGAAGTGCTCGAAAAGTGGCTCGAAAAGTTGCACACATAAAAGCTGAAGGTGGCATTCAGAAGCATGCCGCGTTTGGTTGTCTGCCGCCTTGTTGGTTCAGGCGAGTACCTTGAGATTTAAACACTTGCTGGCTGAGTGCTTCGAATGCAGCACGGAACGCTCTATTGGCGCCAACCAGTTCAAATCGCGTGTCTCAGGCTGCCTGTTGCTTACATCGCTGACAGCTACTCTTGCGCCGGCTAGCGGCGACTAGGCTGTTCAATGACCATAACTAATTATGAGCTAAAGCTGCTAACAATTTCCACGACCATACCAAAGAACACTGCCCATGCGCATGGCGTGCTGTGCCAGAAGGAATCCTGGCTTGATTCCGCGCGTCTCTGCATGTCCGTGCATTGCCGACGCAATTTCATCGTCTCCTCACGTTCATCCTGCAGCCTTGGGCCCACTTTGCTGCATCATGCAAGCTTAGAGGCATAGAGTCATATTTTCATTCCTTTTTGGAAACCTAGACATGACACAGGCCATACAGAGCACATCAATATGATAACCTGAAATCAACAACCCACCTATCTGACAAGAACCCCGCAGCTGCTTGGCTTGAACCTCGCCATTCCGATTGCATTGGTCGATCTCCTCCTTCAGGCGCGCTGCCTTGCCAGTTACAGACTTGACCTGCGTCTCGGATCTATCTAGGCGAAGGGGCTTAGGAGCTAAGAAGGATACCTTTGAGGGAACCTACTGTGTAAGCACCCTTACGGCAGAAAAAACACAGACAAAGCTCCCACATGAGAACTACGCCACTTCGTTCTTGAGCTGCTCGTTCTCTGTCTTTGCAGTCTGGCACTGCTCCCGGCACTTCTTCAGCTCCCCCTCGAGCACGGTCACTTCACTTTTAAGCACTTGTCGGGACTGCTCATGTTCCAGAACACTGCGCCTAAGACGTTCCACCTCTTGTTCGCTTTTGAGGAGCTTTTCTTCTTCATCGCGTAAGTGACGATGTAGCTTGTCAGCCTGATTTGCGGACTCACGGTAGCTTGTCTGCCACGCCGCTAGATCCTTACCTTGCTGCTCAAGTTCCCGCTCCTGCTTATTCAAGTCACGGTTGCCACGGTCACGCTGATCCTGTGCCTGCTGCAATTGAATCCGCAACGTCTCACAATCGGCTTTGGCATCTTTTGCCTCGTCCTGGAACTTCGATGATTGTGTTTTCGCGTTGCACAACGCATCTTGCTGTGTATGATAGAGCTCCTTCCAGCTCTTGCAGTCCTCCTTGCTCAATTGCTGTTCGCGTGCGAGGCGGGCAGACTCTGCCTTCAAGCCGGCAATATCTCCTTCGCACTCATGCAGCTTACGCGTGGCTTCATCGCAAGCTTGCTGAGCCTCCAGCTTGAGAGTTTGGGCCTCCTTCAATCGGCTGCTTTCACTACACAACTTCTTCTCGAGGTCCTTGCGATCCAGCTCTTCCCTGTCGAGTTTGACTCTCAGCAAGTTGCCGCGTTCTTGAGCGAGACGCTCTTGTGTCACGGCAGCATCCGCTCTGTCCATTTCCTTTTTCACTTGCTGCTCTGCTGTCTTCTTCTCACGCTCCAGCCGATTCTGCAGCATCACAGCGTTTGTAAGCTGGTCGAAGAATTTGTCGGCCTCGCTTTTGTGGAATGTGGCATCGTTATTTGCAACTGCGAGTTTTTTTTCCAAGCCTTTAACTTGCTGCTTCAGGCTGGTGACCGTCTCCTGACACTCTTGCAGCTGCGATTTCAATCTATTTTCCGTTTCCTTCCATTGCTGAGAGGACTGCAAATGACGAAGCACCGCAGTCTGCAACTTTGACTCTGGCCAACGAAACTTGCAGCAAACAAAGCCGATACCGAGCCCGCTCAAGCCCGAAAGCAGAGTTGCCGGCCATCCCTGCAACGAAACTCCACACGTATCAGCTTTCGTGGACACAAAACTGATGCCAGCTTGGCCAGAGCGGACTGCAAAGGACAACCATTCCTTGACAGCGTCTAAGGCTGGAGAGCACCCATTTGTAACAGAAACTTAACACTGGGTTCTGTGCCTCCGTCATTTTCTCCATCCATGCCTGAAGCCATATCAAAGTGCCAGCTACCGCAGCAGCGCCAACTACCGCAACAGCGGAGAGGATCTTCCATGGAAGGTGATGAAGGGTTCTCTCCCTGCTCCCTGGAGCTTTCTGCTGGTCTGCAACCAAAATCATGAATGGCTGGCTTGGAGTGCAAGTTACACAAGCATGCTGAAGGAACTGCCGCAAGCTCTCCGCTGCGACGCCTTCGCACGCGTGAACCTTAGTTGGTGAATGCCCGGCCCATGAACACCGCAGCGCAGAAAAGCAGTGATCGGAAGTCTTCGCGCATCAGTGCTTGAGCACCGGAATTCCACGACATAGCGCGGACCGTCGTCTACAGCCTCACTCGGGGTCTCAGTCGGCTCGGGTGTGCCCATCTGCCATCGAAAGACACCAGTGCCTGTGATCCCGGGGGAAGAACCAGCGTTCTGGAGCCGAGGTGGTGCATGTCATACAACAAGGAATGGTGTCATGCGCTGCTGCGTGTTTGTTTGAAAAATCATGATGCAGGCATTGCGTACCCTTACGATATTGCGGTCAGAAGCCAGAGGTGCCTCTCTCGCTTCCTCAATTGACCAAGATCCATTTTGCACCTGACGGGACTTGACAAGGGAACTTCCAAACTTGGGGTCTCTTTTGGGGATCCTTACATACGAAGTGTGTTGGGGTCTTGAGAAGTTACCATAAGAACCTCTCAAAACAAGCTGAGCACTCTTTATGTCTTGTGTCATAAAGGCCCAACCTTGGTACACCTGCGGCGATGGCACTCGTTTAGGCGTAGGGCCCTGTTCTCTCACCTTGTTGTCTGATCTTGGAGAGCCAAGCTGCCTCAACCCCACGAAGCCTATACACCTCAACCGCATACCAACGAATACACCTTGAACGCAAAGTCCTACACCCGAAGCGCTAAGCTAAACCCGAAACCCTGAACCCTGAACCCTAAACCCGAAACCCTAAGCTCTCTTACCCATATAATCCCATACACCTAAGCCTTAAACTCTTAGTCGGCATAGGCGCATCGATTCGCCGGGTTAGGGCTCAAGGCTCAAGGCCTAGTCAAGAGGCGTGCCTGTGCCAATAAGTCGGGTAAAGTGACAGAGCTTGAGGCGGGCGCTTTAAGCAGTGCGGTGCAGGGCCCTAGCGTATGGAGTCTAAGGTTTATGGATTGAGTCAACTTCATATTTTCTTACAGTAATGTTATGGGATTCTTTGATGCCCGAAACCCTGAACCCTGCAACCTAAACCTTCCCCCCCCGAAGCTTCCTAAAGCCTTAGCCCCAAAACCTATAAACTCTGGTTAAACCATGCAAGCCCTACAAACCCTAGACCCTAAACAACCTTCTGGCCAGAATTCCCTGGCATGCAGATACCGAAAATGCTTAGAGTAAGCCTGAATTGCATATAGATCACGTTACACGCTGTAAGCTCTTTACGCCATGCTTTTCCTCCTGTCTAGGGCCTTTTGCCAAGGTGTTGATGTGCATAAAGGGGAACAGATACTCGGAAAGGAAGGGGAACAGATACTCGGAAAGGCATGGACGCAGTCGCTTCCGAAAATGCTCCACCCAGAACATACAAAACACTCAGCAGCCCTAAGCCTGAACCCTAAAACCCTTTAACCTTAAACCCCAAACCCAGACCCATCTTCTTCAGGCATGTTCATTCGCCTTGGGGTGGGCCGTGGCCCAGAAGGGCTACGGGTTTAGGGTCCAGAGTGGTTTGGAGTTTCTGCAACAAGTAGTTTGGGCCCAGGGCTGATGCTCAGAAGACATTTTCATGGTGCTTCCCTCGAAAAACAAAAGCTCTCATTGAGTGCGGCTTGCTTGTACCATCTGCCGTGATTCCTGCGATAACTCACGAGCTACGGATCGCTAGCGTCATACAAGTTCTTCGTTACAACGTCTTTGCTTCAGTTTGTCGATCTTGCCAGGCCTGTGGTTGTCTCTGGACGTAGATTTTGGAGTCTCAAGGTCGGAGGCGCAAAGTTGGGCATTTGAAGCTTGCCAGGCTGTCTTTGGGCTGCGAGCAACTTCTCAGAGTATTGTGGATGGCACGTTCGCCGAACTTATTCAACGTCGGTATGGAGCATCAAGCCGCACATAAAGAGTACACATGTTGTCCAACACAGCAACAACAACTAGTCTAGTTGCAACTCATACGTTGTGCATGCTGAAGGATCGGGCGCAGGCTCCGGTGAGTCGGGCCAGCAAGAGGGGACTCAGACGATGAGTTCTTGGAGCTTAAGAATGGCCTCCAAGAAGCGGAAAAAAGGTCCGACAATTCAGACAATGAATTGTGGGGAAAAAAGTCCGAGGGTTCGGAAGACGAGGACCCAAGAAGAAGCCCAGGACAAGTTTGCTGATAGACTAACTGCCCCCTGCTTCTGGACAAGTATGCTGACCAACTACTAGTCCCCTGTTCTGATCTAACTGCCCCTTGGTTGAAGTTCGTTTTTGGGTGCCTTTTCGGCGAGGGGGCTTTGTGAGGTGCAAGCTCGCTTAAACCAAAACCTTGGAAAACGCATCACATACAATTTCGATCTGAAAACCCAATAGAGGAAATGTCCCAAGGGCCGACCCAGTTTGGGTTCTCAGGCCGAGACTTTGGCTGCTGCTCGCCCAGCCGAGGGCCCAGTGTCCTGTTTGGGAACGGGCCGCGGCGGTGGGAGAGAGAGGGGGGGTTGGGGTCAGGGTTATAGGTTTGTAAGGTTATAGCGTTTATAGCTTTTAGGTGTTATAAGGCGTTTAGGTTTAGGGTTGTGTGATGTCGAGGAACTCGGGGGGGGGGGGGGGGGGGCTGAACTAAGGGGTGTAGAGTTCCAAAAGGTCAAGGTAGGTCTTATGGCGTTTAACCTTGGCTCCCTAAACCCACAAGGTCGAATGCATTGTTTCCTAGACCCTAAACCCCTTAAATGGGAGTTCAGGGTAGTTTGCCAGGATGGGCCATGATCGTGGGTTTAAGGCACGTAGATGTGGGGAGTAAACGAGTTTATAAGTAGGGTAACTCGGAAACTCTAGTTGTAGTTGGATAGAACCCTATTTATCTGACCCTAGTTCGAAGTACCTGAACATGTGGTTGCACTTGGGGCAGGAACACCTGCCGAGAGGGAGGCGCATGCCCTTTACCTGGTTGAGGGCCTATAGGGCAAACTGGAGATGGCATTTGTGCCGCTGGGCACGCCTTTCAAGCTGGGTTTAAAGTTTAGGGTTGAGTGGGTGTAGGTTTAGGGCTTAGGATTCTAGGGTTCGAGTTTTAGGCTTTTACTGAGAATCTACTGCAATCAGTCGTGGAATCCTTGCATCACCCACCTTCCTTTCTCATATCCCAAAATCTACGCAAACCTTTTACAGGGGGTGCCCGGGGAAGGGGGGGAAACAAGCCTCCACCAAGTCAACAATCGAGAAGCTTACCTGCAACAATGAAACTTCGCAGAAACTCTGCAAGCATGCGGCACAATAAAAGCCGGAGGTTCATGATTAATTGCTGAGAAGTAGGGTTTTAAGTAGGGTAGCTATGGTTCTGACCTTGTTTGGGGGGTTAACCCTAAATCCCAGCCCCTACACCCTAAATCCTAAACCCGATTTATGATTACCCATGAACCGCCACGCAGATTCCACAGAGCAAGTGCTGAGCTTAGTGGCTTCGGCATGTCGGTTCTGAACTTTGTTCTTGCAAGGCCCAATGCATCAACAAGTCTCAAGCACACTTAGTACGGTCTTGCCTGCATGCTGTGCCTTTTGGGGCGGTCCTCTTCCGGCGCTATACCTAGTGCAGTTTACATAGATCTTCTGACGTAGCTGCTAGCGAAGCCCTCTGTGCGAAGGTTCAGCATGTACATAAATTGACAGCATACTACCACGCGCACCCAAGTTGAACTGTGGATCTGCAGCTTCGGGTGAAGCGTATCCACATTCGCCTTGATGTTCAGCATTGAGTGACATAATGCAAAAAGCGACAACTGTGAGCAGCCGTTCCCACGTCATCCAGCAAACCCCCCCCATCAAAGCGGAACCTCGAAAACAACGGCTCGTTGATCATCCGCCTCGAGATGCGTTCTCATGTTTCTTGCCGGAGTGACAACAAGCTACCACAACTTTGTTGTGAAAGCAAAGAACAAAACAAAGGAAGTGCTGACTTCTGCAGACTCACGGGAGGATCCAGGCAGGTGCCGTCAATGAAGATATTCCACAAACAATACTTCGGGGTTCTAGTTTTCACTTCCTCACAGGCTGGGACCGGAGTCAGAGGCTCAGACAAAGTTATAGTCCTCCTCGTCTTGTGGAACTGCTGCTTGAGTATTGAGCTGAGCTTGCTCAAAGGCTGGCCCTTCTGCCGCTCCATCTTCCTGAGAGTCTTGGATGCTGTGCGAAGATACCGTGTTCAAAGACATCTCCATGCCTGCAGACATTGGAGGATTGGCAGCCTCTGCTGTTGGATGTCCGGCAGCTGTTCCTGCCAGATCTGCATGTGAGGCTTGTGGACGTGTGTCCTGGCCTGGTAAAGGCGCCATAGACAATCTCTCGTTTTTCGCAATGGGAAGAGCTGACAGCAATTCAGCGCAGAATTGCTGACAGTTAAACGACCGTATATCGTAGCGTCTGCCAGTGGCGCCGACCATTACCTTCAAAGTATCAACAACCAGCTCCATCTTTATTGCTTTGCAGACATCGTAAAATTCCACGCCGGCATGTCCCTCTGTCTGGGCAAGAGTCTTGCTGAGGTTTGTCCAGCTGGAAAATGTGGAAAGACCGCGCTCTTCAAGACCGTCCTGGGTCCAACTCAAGCGGCATGCCCGAAGACAGCCGCAGGACACATACACAAAGTACAGCTCATCATGCCAAGCGCCAAGTGCACGTTCTGTAATCGACAAGAGATGCCCGCCTTCACCGTCTTGTTTGAACACGCCGAGGCGTGTTGTCACCTTGCAGACGGAGGTAATTTCTTCATTGCCCACCATGGCAATCGCATGTTCATTAATGTCGTCCGCGGTCAGCCTCGCTGTCTTCTTAGACTTGCAGGAATTCGACGGTAACGATGCCACACAGCGGCTTGATTCTGAACCTGAACACCACGCGATGACACTGCCCATGATCACGAATCAATGCGGGCTGAAACTAGAACACGCCGATAGATCGGAGTGTGCACGATGTCACATTCAATGGATTCGTAACTTTAGCAGCTAGCTTCATTGACATAATCCGAAACACAAGGGCCTACAGCTAAGGCTACTTTGACTTATGTCTCTTCGCCTTCTGAAGCCGATGTGTCCGTGAGCACTTTCTGTAGCGATTGACTCTGACACCCCAAGATCTACCCAAACCTTACCTAAACCAAGTAGTTCCATTCTGGGGGGACCAAAATGTTTTCAGCCTTTTGCACTAAACCCTAAACCCTAAACCCCTAAAACCTAAACCCTACCCCCCCCCCCCCCCCCCCCCCACCTCCCCAACCAAGAAGAAACTACAACTGGGGTCTAGACAAGCCCGAAACTCCCATGCCGCTTGAAGAAAACGTCAAGCCCAAGGCAAGTAGGGTTTAAGAGTTAGGGTTTAGCAAAGCTGGCCTTGAGAGGCAGAGCCGGGCGCACTGCCATGTCAGCACCACCTGACAAAATGCAACGCTGCATTTGGGGCCCTATAAGCCCTAAACCTGCAAGCCCCTTCAGCCTGCTTTGTAGGGTAGTATATAACTACACGGCTCCTTGTAGGATCTTCCTATCCTAGCAGATGTTCGCACGGTTGCAGTGAGTTCCCTGCCATCCTGTAGCCAGGCAGTCAACGATGCTTGCCTGGCTAATGGGATTTAGGGTTTAACTACAGGGGTTATAAGTAGTCAAGGACCTTTCAATCGGGCTAGGTGCCGCAAGAACAAACGAAGGTACCCGTTTTGGTGTAGTCCGCACTCGAAAGCCAACCCTCGGAGCTTCTAGACGGTTCAAGGGCAAGACTCGGAACACAAGAGCCCTAAACCCTGAAGCCTGAACCCAGGCTGACAGAATGAACAAACCTGTGTTCTTGAGGGTTCATGGGTGCTTTTACGCAGGCTTTGTAATTCCGGACAGAGCAGAACAAAAAACCGGGTGCCCAACTTGACGTTAGAGGGGGTCGACTGTGGGTCTGTTGGGCTCGGAAGAATAAGCGTACGACAAGAACTGATTGAAGCTGCACTGTAAGCTGTCCGAAATGTCTTCCTAAAAAACAGGCCCCAAGCTCTAAACCCTAAGTCTTAAGCACCGCTATCCGATTTGATTCCTATTAACCCTAAGCCCCATTTTAAAGGTGCTAACAAATAGGCCCTAAACACTGTGAAACCCTTAACCCTATAGAGCCACATTTAAGGGTACTGAGCTCCGCACATTTTGGGCTAAGACCATGGTTTGGCTGCCGCTCGGGAGCTGCTGTGTCCTGTTTGGCGGGTTGGGGTTGAGAGTTTGGGCTTGGGGGTTTGGGGTTGAGGGTTATGGGTTTAGGGTTTGGGGTTGCTGTTTGGGTGTTGGGGGGGGGGGGGGGGGGGGGGGGTGTTGAGGAACTCTGGGGCCTGAATTGTGGGGGCTTATAGCTTTAGAAGGTCATGGTTTACTTCGACATGTTCTTGTAAAGCTCTACGGGTTGTGGAAGGGTTCATAAACCCCAACACCCCCGAAGTGGGGGCCGTTTGGGGCTTAAAGGGCAGGCTGACAAATATGTGCCATCAAGGGAAGCTAATAATCTCAGGGCATCCTCGAGAATGGTCTTGAGAGGTCGGGGTTGAGGGTTTTAAGGGATCTCCGTTTAGGGTTTAGGATTCTAGCTGGGAGGTTGCCAAAAATGGGAGGAGGGGGGTGTCTTGGGCATACAAGGAACCCCGGTTACTGGCAAAGTCCCATTTCAAGCCAGAAGCTTGTGGCAAAGCGGCCCACAGGAACGACTGACACTTCAACCCGACATCCCAAGACCCTAAACCTCACTCCAGAACTAAATAGCCCAGTAACCGTACTCTAAGGAGGGTACCCTTTTTGGGGTTACTTTAACGTAGAATAAGGGAACCTTGAGCCAAAGAAGGCAACAAAAGGGTACCACTGGGCTACCAAGCGAAGGTGCACGCCCGGACCTGGTCCCCAAAGCCCCACGACACGGTTTTGCCCACGCCCTCTGCGTCTCATGCAAGCCGCTATTTGGGCGGCGGGTCGAGGGGTTACATAAGGTTTAGGGTTTAGTTAGAAACTAGTGAGAGCTTATTGGACCACACCATTCGAAGCTACTTATCAACTTCTAGACCCTGATGCCTACACCCGACTTGCAGGGAGGAGGTGAGGACGACCCAGGCACGAGTCTGTTCCAAGTAGCGGGGTGGAACTCAGCGACCGGTACCTTCGCAGAGTCTTCTGCGAAGATCGCGATGCCTGGGTTGTGGGAGGGCTTGCTTCAAACAGCCGCTGGCAGGTTAAGTCTTAAAAAACAGCGCGTGCAGGCAAACAACCAAGCTGAAGGAAGCCAAGTGGCAAGCATTGGGGTCGTTTAAAGCATTGCGCAGGCTCACTCAGGAATTAGCTTCAGGCACTGCCTGCAGTCTCTGCTTGCCTCCATGCCATCCTTCAGTGCAGAGAGCAGACCCTCCTTTGGAACCGCCTTCAGGGTCTCCCCGATCGCGGCGCATGCGCACAGCCAATGCCGAAACAGAAACCAAGCCAAGTCGAAGATCTGGGAGTTGAGGGTCGCTTTTGCCTCGCTCGTCTCGCCCTCTGAGGGTGGAAGGAATGGGCCAAGCAGAGCAAGCGCGGCGCAGAGCAGGAGCAGACCACCCAGCACACGGCCGCGCGCCATGCTCTCGCAAAGTGAAGGCTTAAGAGCTCCCCCTTGTTGGACCCTTGTTAAGGGGCACTTCGGAAGTGCAGGGTTCTTGGGCTTGGGGTGTTGGCGTGTTGGGGTTTGGTTCCGAAGCCTGCGTGATCCCGCTACCCCTTAGAGTGTTTTTTTGGGCTGCAGATTTATGGGACAAGGGGGGGGGTGGGGGGGATAATGCCAAGGACTTCGAGTTTCAAAAATTTTGGGGTTTCAGAGCTTTGCCATTTCGAACTGTGCGGTGATACAAAATCTGAGCCCGGAGGGAGAAGGCTTCGGGCTGAGGGTTCTAGGTGGTGTTAGGGTTTCAGGATTAGCCCTAAACCCTAAACCTAAACCCTAAACCCTAAACCCCAGACCCTAAACCCTAAACCCTAAACCCTATGCCTTACAGGGTTTAGTGGGGTTCCACGCTTCCTTGTGAGTCCACGTGAGGGTTTGGGGTTTAAGGCGTAAATGCAAGGCACGCGGTACCCACGACACTTCAGCATGCGGCCCCAAACTTCCAGAGACGCCGGGGTCTGAGCCATAGCTGAGCACGTTAGGTCGGGGGGTTCAAGGGGGGCAGGTACCTGGGGAGCCTTAGGGAAGCTGAGGGAGCCTTAGGGAGTAGGGGGGAGTATGAGGGAACCTTGGGTTGCATACCCCCCGGAGCCCCCCTCCCTTAAGAACCCTAATTTAGGCGTAGTTGGGGTACATAACAGAAGCTTCCCATATCAACTGGGCCCAAGGCACGTCTCCTCCAAAAAAGACCCGTCGCCACGAGGGGTCAGATGCCCATCTTCATCCCGAGCACCGAGATCTGGATGTTTGCCTCTCCAGAGCATTGTAGCCGCTTGGGGGGCAGGATGGGGACTTATGTGGGGATTGAGGGTTTAGGGCACGTAGATGTGGGGATTAGACGAGTTTATAAGGTCTCGGAAACTCTAGTTGTAGTTGGAGGGAAAATCTACTTATCTGACCTTACTCCGAAGTACCTGAACATATGGTTGCCCTTGGGGCAGGAACACCTGGTGAGAGGGAGGCGTATGCCCTTTACGGGGTTGAGGGCTTGTAGGGCAAACTGGAGATGGCATTATTGCCGCTGGGCACTCCTTTTGAGCTGGGTTTAAGGTTAGGGTTGAGAGGGTGTAGGTTTAGGGCTTAGGATTCTAGGGTTTAGGGTTTTAGGCTTTTACTGAGATTCTACGGCAATCAGTCGTGGAATCTATGCATCATCCACCTTCCTCTCGTCTGACTACATAAGCGAGCCCACCATGGATCTCTCAGGTCCCAAAATCTACGCAAACCTTTTACAGGGGGGTGACGGGGAAGAAGGGGGGGGAAACAAGCCTCCACCAAGTCAACAACCGACCAGTTTACCTGCAACAATAGAAAACTTCGCAGAAACTCTGCAAGCATACGGCATGATAAAAGCTGGAGGTTCATGGATACTGAAAAATAGGGTTTTAAGTAGGGTAGCTATTGTTCTAGCCTCTTTTGGAGGGCTAACCCTAAACCTTAGACCCTAAACCCTAAAGCCTAAACCCGATTTATGACTACCCATGAACGTCCACGCAGATTCCACAGCGCAAGTACTGTTGGCCCTCCAGGGCCTTCTTGGGCGCACCAGGAACCCGCCGTTGCTTCCCCGAACCCGTAGGGTTTGGGGTTTATAGGCTTTGGGGTTTATAGGGTTTACAGGGTTTATAGGGTTTACAGGGGTTTATGGTTCACGATATCGGCTAAGCATCAAGTCAATTGAGACGCAAGCGAAAGGAGCTTGCAAGCGACATAAACACCCAACAAAACGCAGACGCGATCGGGCGTTCTTCGAAGTGATGGTCCTGTTTTGGGGCCATATGGGGGGCACGAAAAACTAGGGACCCTTAATAGTCCCCAAAGAAGAAGATTCCCCCTCATAATAAGGACCCTAATCGGGCACCCCTAGTTTGGGGAAATCCTCATTATGAATAGGGATCTGGGTTTTGGGTTTGTACGGTTTAGGGTTTAGTGTTTAGTACCCTTCAAAAAGTGGCCATAACTGTCAACACACCCCGCATACGCAAAAGCAGGAAGACAAGTCAGCTGGTCACGCGTGCGCCTTTCTTTCCCGTCTCGGACCAGGCCTTCCTGGCACGCTGCCTTTGGATTTAGGGCTTTTGGGCTTGGAGGGTCTTAGGGTTATAGGTGTCTAGACCGGAAAGCCCTGTGATGTACAGTGATCGGGCGCCAGGTTGATCATAAGATCACAGGCCGGTTCAAGAAGACATGCTCACATGGCTGCAAATTCAGTAGGCTCTGGCTGCGGAGATGCTGCAACCTAAAACCTGAACCTCAAAGCTCTCCACTGGGAACAAGGCCATGAACTTTGTCTGCTTCCGAGGTCACACAGATTGTATATCTTCGTGGCGCCTTCAGCACCTCAGCAGAGACCATCATCTCCCGCAGGTTCTCGCCCGGTTGTTGTGGGAGTTTTGGTAGGGCTTAGAAAAGCGGAGAGTCGAGGTATTCCAGGGGACTTGACAAGGATCGCCTGCAAACGCACCCCGTCAAAGAACTCACCATGCAAGTATGTAAGGTTGGCCCATTACCGTGAAGATCTCATGTCAACTGCCCACCGAGCTACTTCCCTTCTCATTTTCAGCGCTGTCTCCGTCGCGCAGTGTGAGCGCAGACTGCCGGACTCCATGGCACATTGGCTCGATGAAGCTTGACAGGCACGCCAAAAACAGACGCTCGGCTTGGGAGCGGGAGACTTCGCACATTGTGCCACGACTGCATCGTGGGTCACTCACATCTCGCCAATGGGCGAGAGTGGGGCAAACCGCCACGGCGTGAGGTGCTCCTGCCGGCGCCTGCGCAGGGCCTCGCAGATAATCACATGGGAAACCACATTCTGGGTCACTAGAGAAATATCTTTACCCCGGCAGAAATAAACACTTACGTGAGATACTTGCAGTGGCTCCTTACGCAAGACTTTTCACTAACAGTTCAACAAAACCTTTTCTTCACTTCACCCCGGGGAAGTGACCGTCGAGTGGAAAGTTCACTAGCCGTATACCGGACCTAAGCCCTATTGCTTTCGATGCACGCTTCTATTCAAAGTCTTGTTGTCTTTTTGAGCAAGCTGTTTCAAAATACTGTTGGCTTTTTGAGCAGGCTACTTAGGATTCTAGTGATACCGTCTTCAATCACGTAGTTAAGACACGACGCAAATGAGATTCGAACATGGTCTACTATAGTCATCGCAGGTAGGCATTGCAATATTTACACCTTCAATTTAACGATCAGAAGAACTGAAACACTCGTTGTCGCACAGTAAGGATGCTCATGAGACATAAACTTTCTCAAACAATAGCTACTAGGCTCTTGCACAACAATTCTGCTAAAGGTACAATTGAATCGTCGCCCTCTTAAAAATCGTCGCCTCTAACATAAAGAAAAAAGTAGAATGCAAAGGGACTAACTTGAATGTGATATACAACCCAAATCCAAAAATCCAAATGCCCAAAAACTCAATTCAACATTCCAAAAATTCAAAAATCCAAAAACCCAGACTTTCTTGGGAGATTCTCCTTGGATTTTTGTGTTTTTGGGCTTTTGGGTTCTCAAGAGAGATGCTGAAACTTGCAAAAAAAAGGCAAAAGCCAAAAAAAGTCACACACAAAAGTGCAAAGAATGCAAAACCACACAAAAACTTGCAAACAAAAACAAAGTGCAAACAGAGACAACAGAAAGTGGAACAAACAAAGAAACACAAGAAAGAAACACGAAAAACACAAACATGTCTGCTTTCAGTCCATTGGGATGCTTTTACAGTACAGAATGTATTAGATGTACATAAAGCCCGAAAATTCGCCATGACCACGTCGGTTTGTGGTCGAGTCTGTCGCTTCCAAAACATGTAAAATGCGTCCGGATTGTTCTGTTACCCCAAAGTCCAGACATTTTTGGGAGGTCCTCTGGCAAGGTTTCGAGTTTTGGCATTTTCGACTTTTGCAAGCTAACTTGCGTAGAATGGCAAGAAAATCACATTTAGTCTTAAAATCGGACACTGTTCCGAAGAAATGCATGAACTTGCCTTTGTTTACAAAGAATGCATTAGCACTAGTCTCGACTGTGAAAAAACCTCAAGGTCCAAAAGAGCAGACACTGTCTACAAGAGCTTTCACATCTCGAGGTTGATCCATTGGGGGGGGGGAGACCGTATACGTGATATATGTATATATTACACACACCACACCCCGCCTGAAGCCTTAGGACGATTCACTCTCAGGATGTTCAACCCTGAATCCTTTCTAAAATCCTCACACCACAGGCTCCTTGAACCATTAATCTGAAACCCTGAAGCCTGTCCATCCTCAAGAACAAACACACCCAAACAGCTCCACCGCGCCGTACTCGAGGCGCCCCTGCCTTCTTCACGGAACGGGGCAAAATCCTCTTGCCGCGGTGCAGCGGATAGCCGAGCGGCCCCACGTCTGGCGACATGCAAGGAGCACTTCGGGCTGCGGGGTCTCAAGCTCTTAAGCCTTAAAACCCCAGAAAAATCCACGTGTTTTGAGACGTAATTCAACAAACCCGGGTTCAGGTGGGCAGCCGCTTTCAGTTCTAGCTCCATGCGTTTGCTCACCTCAGCCAATTTTCACGCAGCAAGTCGGGCAGACTTACTGGGTGTTCAAATTGAGGTTGTTCAGGTCCAAGTATGCACCGTTAGCACAGCGAAAACAGCCATTCCGAAGCCCCAGCAAAACGTTAAGTTATAGGACATTTTGCACGTTCATCCATTCTGAACCCTTAAGTTAACGTTAAGGAACTTCTCTCGCTGACATCAGATCTGCCAGAAAAACCAAGTTGGAGCGTACAAGGGCACTTCCGCCGCAGAAGAAACCCGGCAGAAACCTCCAAGCATCGGAAACCTTCGTCCCTGCGTCAATAACGGCTGAAGTGGGTTTTGGGGTTTAGGGTTTAGGGTTTAGGGTCAGAATATCCTTTCGGGGCAGACTCAGCGCTTGGAGTGCAGCACTGGTTGAAATCTGATCTCTGCCCGAGTTTCGGGGAAAGCGGGGAGAGGGCGACGGGGAGCCGCTTCTCAGCCGCGTGTCAACCCTAAACCCTAAACCCTAAACCCTAAACCCTAAACCCTAAACCCTAAACCGTGAATGATGCAGCAGCTGGATCACCAACTCCCCTACCTCTTTTCAGAACAGCGACTAGCCACCCAAGGAGGCCACCCAGATGATGGAAGCCCAACCCCCAAATCGACCCGAAACAGGGTGGGTTCAGACGAAAACCTCCCAAGAAGGCACAAAAACATGGAAACGTACGAAAAAACCTTTTAGACGGCACAAATGATGGAAACCCAAGCCCCGCAAATCGACCCGAACCAAGAAGGTTGGGTTCAGACGAAAAACCTCCCAATAAGGCTCCAAAACCCCAAAGAGGACAAATACGAGGTAGGATCCGGAACCGATCGCCTCGCGGCTGGAGCTCAGAAATGCCCGCAGCTTCCACAGCGCGCCTGGCCACAAAGTCTTAGGGTTGCTGGAGTTCAGGGTTTAGGGTTTAAGGAGTTCAGGGCATCTTTCAGGAGTTCAAGCGGCCAGCCTTAGGGCTGAAGGAGTGCCGGGTTTAAGGAGTTTAGGGCGCACGGAGTTTCAGGACTTTGGAGGGAGGACGCCAGCGCGAGCCCAAAGACTGCAACCTTCCATCGGCTTTAAAGGTTGGCAAACTTAGGGGCCTCAATGCTTGGAATAGGCAGCCTTTTCTTTGTTTTTTTTTTTTTGGGGGGGGGCGCTGAAAAAAGAATATTCATAAAGGGTCCTAAGGGAAGGCTCCAGTATAGGTTGGTAACCAGGGATGGCCTCGCTGGCAGCGCCGCTGGCATGAAGCCTGCTTGTTGGAGACACAGTCAGAGACCAACAACGGCTAAAGTGAAGTGGGCTTAGGGTTTAGGGTTTAGGGTCAGAATATCATTGTCGGGGCAGACTCACCATTGCAGGGTGCAAGCAATCGGAAGCTACCCGAGTGTGTGAGCGCTTGGAGTGCAGCACTGGTTGAAATATGTTGAAATCTGATCTCTGCCCGAGTTTCGGGGAAAGCGGGAGAGGGCGAAGGGGAGCCGCTTCTCGGCCACTTGTCAACAGGTTGTGGGAAAAATGATGCAGCAGCATTTTGTCTGGGAGCGAAGCCCTGCTGGCCCTAGGGCCGAGGAAGCGGCAGGAAGCGGCCGGATTTCGAGAACATTGTCTTCGGATCCGACGATGCTTCGCCCATTGCCCAATCGAGCAGCAAGGCGCGACACCCCCAGAGCCCAGGCAGCTGTTAGGGCCGAGGTATCTGCCCCGTTCGAGGCTGTGTAGGAACTGTGCGAAGTGTGCAAAGAACGCGCGCATTGGCAGACTGTAAGCCGGCGACACTTGCAGCCTGAATGTGGGCAAGGAGGGCCACCCGCAAAGCAGGCGCTTCAAGCAATAAAGCCAGTCCGGTTTCTCGGTCGCAAAAATCGAAGAGAATTTGTCATGTAGTCTATGGTTGTCAGTATGCTTGCGGCCTGCGGCACTGCGGCCCTCAATCTAAGCGCTCAGCCAGCAACCCAATGACACTTTTTCGACCACATGGGTGTCTCCGATTCGAGGGGGTTCTTGGGGTCCTGATAAGGGGATCCGAGATTATTCTCGGAAACTCCGAAGGTACAAACCCTAAACCCTACATACACATACACTTCTACATGTATACGTATATCTATATATATATATATATATACAGGGTTTAAGGTTTATAAACCCTGACTGTCTGGCTGTAGGAACCGATCGCCTCGCGGCTGGAGCTCAGAAACGGCCGCAGCTTCCACAGCGCGCCTGGCCACAAAGTTTTAGGGTTGCTGGAGTTCAGGGTTTAGGGTTTAAGGAGTTCAAGGCATCTTTCAGGAGTTCAAGCGGCCAGTTTAGACATTCAGGAGTTTTAAGGCTTTGGAGGGGGGATGCCAGCGCGAGCCCAAAGACTGCAACCTTCAATCGGCATCAAAGGTTGGCAACATAAGGGCCTCAATGCTGGACATAGGCTGCTTATTTATATTTTATGTGCTTAGTTTTTTTTGCTTTTTTTGTTTGGGGGGGGGCCTATTATAGTATAAGGGAACATTATTTGTACTTCTTCCGACTCCTATAGTATAGGGTTGATGGTTCAGGGCTTAGGGCCTATAGGGTTTGAGGTTTAGGAGTTGTAGGGTTGAGGGTTTGGGGTTCTTGGTTTAGGGCTTAGGTGGGGTTGAGGGCTTAGGGGACTGCGGCAGGAGTCGTGAAGCCATTCATAAGGGCATACTACTAGAAGGAAATTATTCCGACCCCCTATTAAATTCACCACGGATGGCCTCACAGGCAGCGCCGCCGGAATGATGCCTGCTGTATTTTTAGGAATTACAGTACCCAAAAACTTTTATATATATACATATATTATATAAGTATTCCCAAGTATCCCAAGTGCATGGGATTGCTCGCTCGTGCGGAATTGGGCTGCAAATTTGTTTTCTTGACGCTCTTCTTTTGCTCGCTCGATGTACTTGTAGCGGGCTTACCTGACTCATTGGTATATAGTGAATGGCAAGCTACGCTGTCATATCGAGATGTGCTTTCTAGCAACATCGAGATGTGCTTTCCAGTAACTTTCCCGTAGCTTTTGCCAGAACTCGTGCAAACAAACTGACAATTGCAGTGCACGCATGCCCCCTGCAGGTACACCTGTAGCTCTTTTTCCATCGACTCAGCGTGGTTCTACTTCACTCTTGAAGTACTAAGGAAGGAAGAACCAAGAACCGGGCTCAAAGTCCTAAACCTTCGAAGCCAGGGATGGAGTTGCCTGCTGCAGCCGATGGCACCTGCTCTGCTGGCTACTGCAGTCTACTGCGTGCACTGCGCTCTGCTCGCGGCGTCTAACCTCCAAAGAGCTCCCAACTCCAGCCTGAGCGCAGGCCATACTAGCGGATGGCAGCACCTGCAGATGTGACGTCCATCGTGCAGCATCTCAAGAAGATGCCCCGAAACCGCGGCACGCACAGAAGAAACACGGCCATGGCCCACCGTTCCAGCACGACTGGCCTTCACGTAGACAGGGTGCACCGGGTGCACAGCTGGAAGACGCACGGCCTGATTGAGATGCAACAGGATGACGTGGGCAGATGCGCAGACCAGCACACATCTCCATGCATCCTTACTGAATTCACCAAGAACTGTGATCACATTGACGTGTGCCTGCCGGTGTGCACAGTGCAAAATCTGGCCGAAACCCCACCCTCCCGAGAATCACGGAGTTGTGAAAGGCAAGCCACAATCGCCAGCTGTTTTGTGCTGGAACTGCGGTTAGTCTTAGTCACTTCATTCCAAAGGCCGACACAAAGGTCATGGACCGACCCGCCTTCGCTGGCTGTGCCCAGAGGCGACGCGCCACCTGCTGCCGCCCAATATGCCCAGCTCTTTAATAAGGTGACAACTCACCTGGGGCCAGCCTGGATGTAGGGCGGCGGAGCAGCCACCTGCCGGAGCCCCGCAGATTTTTGACACGACACATATGCACACATCTATCCGACTAAACGAGGGCTTCAGTCATCCACATCTCGAACCGACGGTCGCCCGACGGTCCACTGGTGCGCTTCCGGGCGCGCGGCCTGCACCCCCCAGAGGCGCCGTGCCGCCTGAACCAGATTCAGAGGCGAAGGCTGAGACGCCGAGGCATGGGCTTAGGATGGTCTCATTTTTTGTGCGCGCGGGGACCTGTCCGACCTGTCCTCCCCCCTTTTGTTTACAGAAGGGCATCGCAAGCGCATCCCAACACTGTACAGCACTGTCGGCGAGGCGAATCCAGCAGGGGCTCCAGCCTGGACGTAGGGCGGCAATTCCGCTGCCATCGGGCTGAGTGGGGCAACGCCAAATGCTCTGAACCCATGAAAACACCTGCGGCGGATGTGTTTGTAGGCCAGGAAATGATTAGCACGAAATCCAGAAGCGCTGTCTTGCGTGCGAGCATCGATCATGAAAACATGCAGTAATCGGAGACACATGCGGTCCTAGAGAGATTAAAAAACAAAACACTTCGCTGGGCTCTCCGGCGGCATGCTGCTCGGCCCTCGTGGCTTCCTTGCAAGCGCCTTGCAACCTGCAGGCTCAGAGCTTTGTCTTTGACTAAGTGGGCCTCAATTAGCTCCCTGATTCCGTGCGCAGCCTTGCTCCTCCTGCGCAAGGCCCTGCAAAAGGCCTTGCAAGGCCCTGCAAAGCCCCGCAAGAAGTTCTTGGAAGCCAGGCTCGTCGGTCCCTGGCACTTTGGGCCCCCCCCCCTACTAACAACAACCTACACGTAAAGGGGTCAAAGCGAGAGGGTCTGGGATCCTTGAGAGCCCGGCCTCTCCCAGAAGCTCTCCCTCGCGACGTCAGACGCCCATGTTCATTCCGCCCACCGACACCTGGATGTTTGCCTCTCCGAAGTTGCCGCTTTGGGGCTTGGGGTTTAAGAGGGTTTAAGGCACTTCTATGTACGGTTGGACAAGTTTGTAAGTAGGGCGACTCGGTAGCTCTATAGTTGTAGTTGGACCTTTCTCAGGGTATGTCTGACTGTACTTCTCAGTACGCCATAAACCTTCAAGCAGTTCTCTCTCTAATCGGGGGGTCCCTGTTTTGTTGGTTCCCTTTGGCATTAGTTAATGAGAATCTACAGCAATCGGTCGCGGAATCCTTGGATCACCTGCCTTCCTCTCGTCTGACTAAAGCGATCCCGCCATGGAGTGATCTAGCCAAACCTTTCATGGGGGGGGGGGGGGGGGGGAGTCGGATGCATAAAGACACGTGGACCCGGAACAAACCTCCACAATCCCACAGTACGCCTCTAAACAATCTACCAATCTACCCGCAACAAAAATCTGAGAAACTCTCGAACGTACACCACAACAGAAGACTTTCTGAGAGATTCATGGGCACTTATAAGTAGGGTTGCAAAGTGGGTTAACTATGGTTAGAACTTTTTTGTAAGGGGGGGGGAAATATAAAACCCTACGCATCTGTACACATATGAACCCATGAACACCTAAACCCTAAACCTTACACCCTAAACCCTAAACCCTAAACCCTAAACCCTAAACCCTAAAACCCTAAACCGTGGTAGACTCCTCAGAGCAAGCGCTTCCGGCCCTCCGGGGCCTTTTTGGGCGGAGCTTTGCCTGCGCCAGGAGACCCCGTTGGCTCACCACACCCGTCGGGTTTAATGTCGGAGTCGGAATAGTTACGAATCGTATTCCCTTATGGTCCCTTTTATAATACCCCCCCCCCCCCCCCCAAAAAAAAAAAGAAGCCCTATTCTAGTTATTGAGGCCGCTTTATTTGGGTTGTAATGTTTAACACTATCGGCTAGGCATCAAGTAGGGCGCAAGAGGAAGAACTTGCAAGCGACCCCCGCAACAAGACAGAGACACAATGAGCAGTTCTCAGCATGATGGTCCTCTTTTTGGGCTTACAGGAAAGAAATACTAACAATATTCCCTTCTGGTCCCTTCGTAGCTATTCTACAAGAACCCCCCCCCCCCCCCCAAAAAAAAAGATTAACAAAAACAAACATACTAATAATAATAATAATAATAATAATAATAAATAGACACATTCAAACTATTCAGGCCCCTATATTGCCCTAAACCCTAAACCCTAAACTCTATAGACCCCAAACCCTGAACCCTGAACCCTAAACCCTAAACCCTAAACCCTAAACCCTAAATCCTAAACCCTAAACCCTAAACCCTAAACCCCAAACCCTAAACCCTAAACCCTAAACCCTAAACCCTAACAAGCAGCAAGCCAAGACATTGGGGCCACCGCCGGACCGGGCCTTTCTTTCCCGTCTCGGACCGGGCCTTCCTTCCACGCTGCCTTTGGGCTTTCTAGGAGTTTGGTGGGTGTTGAGGTTTAGGGTTTAGGGTTTAGGGTTTAGGGTTTAGGGTTTAGGGTTTCGGGTTTGGCGGGTATTGGGGTTTACCTTAGGGTGGTTACATGGTCCCTTAGTATGGTCAGCCCGTATGTACCCCTTATGTACCCTATGAACCTCAAGGGCCCACACCCCAGGACCCTTCAACGGAGGCAAGGGGCCGTCTTAAGGGACCATGTATACCTCTGCCACACTTAGAAGCCCCCGCTGTGCACGAGCTCAGATGTTTGCTGCCGAGGCCACAGAGATTGGATCTTCGTGGCTGCTTCCGCGCCTCAGCAGGGATGATCAACTCCTCATGGTGTAGGGTTTAGGGTTTAGGGTTTCGGGTTTAGAGTCTTTTGCAAGGGCTTTTGTGGGGAGTTGCTTGGTAGTAGTAGGGCTTATAGAGTTTCTGGGTTGTAGCAGGGTTTTTGGGTATAGTAGGCCTTTTAAAAGCCAAGTCTCAGCCCAGAGAACTTTACACAAAGAATCGCCTGCAAACTGTGCTCGGTTGGCCGTCTTCTTCGAGAGTCGAAAAGGGCCGTGCAGTTCTCTCAGGGGCACACAAGACACAGCACTCTGACGTGACAGCATTTTGCCGGCGCACAGCTGATTTCTCTTCAATAAACTGTGCAGAGTTTAGAGTTTAGGGTTGAGGCTCCATTGAATGAGCGCCCAAACCCTGCAAGCAAGCGAAAAAGCCGTGCCATCACATCATCGCCGGAACCCTAAACCCTAAACCCTATAAACCCTCAACCCTAAACCTTCCGTGTAAACACCACACAGGGCGTCGGGAAAATTGCACGAATTGCGTTTGCCCTTTAGGCATCCCCTTTGAGAGACAGGCCAACCTCGCTTTTAAGCGAAGTTTTCGGTGCAAGTCCTGAGGGAAAAGGCACGCGTAGACTGGGGGGGCGCGGAGGGGAATAAGGGCCTACTCCGGGTCCCAGGACACTCAAGACAGAGCGGTGTCGTGCCGCGAGCCGCAGCACCTGGAAGGGGCTCTCGCTTTGAACATCCGCGATCTTTCCGGGATCCTACAAGGGGTGGGGTTTATTATAGGGTTCAGAGTGTATCAGGTTTAGGGCATAGGGTTCTCTAGAAAAAAAGCAAGCAGGCACACATCCACGAAAACAAACCTACTAAAACCCCCGACACAGAGGCCCAACAAGCCTGGAATCAATTCTTGGCCGCCAGCGCGGACGGCCAAACAGCTTGAAATATTGGAGTGCAAGACAGGACATTGCAAGCCTCGGCACATTGCAATATATATGTATATATATATACATATATACACATATAAGTATATCTATTATTCTTTTTTTGGGGGGGGTGATAAGGGAAGGTTAATATAAGGGGTCGGCATAATTCCTAGGAATACTCCGCTTCTGGTCCCTATATAAATTTAACATGACAACACCCCCAACACCCCATTGAAGGTCCCTGTAAGTACTCCGAAGAAGCGGGAATAAAGGCCTCCTGTGGGTCCTAGGACTTCTGCTTGCTTAAGAGCTTAAGAACCACAAAGACTGTAGACTAATAATCCCTATATTACCCTTATAAGGCAGAATACTTTCATTTTTGGGGGTTCTTAAGCAATTCGTGGATTCGTAGAGGATGCAGCCTTGGAGCAAGTGCCCTGCAAGAAAGGTGGGATGCATCGTCAGCGCGAAGGACTCGATCGTCCCGGCCGCAAAGGTGTCCCAGTAAAGCAGGACGCTGTAGGTCAGAAGTCCGCAAACTTGGTAGCCCAGTAACCATATGAAAATCAGGGTACCCTTATTTTGGGGGGGTCTACAAAAGGGAAACGTTGAATATCATAACAAGGGTACCTTAAAAAAGGGACGCCTTGAACCCAAAACAAATCGGAAAAGGGCTACCACCGGGCTACCAAGGCAACCGAAAGCCGACATGCCCTGCAGGATTGCTGGCCAGGTAGAGAGGCTGCTCATCACTCGAAGCAAGATGGGGTGAGCCATCGGCAGGAAGACCACGCCAAGGTTCAAGTACCTTGTAGTAGTGGCAGAAGTAATTATACGAAGTAGTAGTAGTAGTCGTCGTCGTAGTAGTAGTAGTAGTAGTTAGTAGTAGTAGTAGTAGTAGTAGTAGTAGTAGTAGTAGTAGTAGTAGTAGTAGTAGTAGTAGTAGTAGTAGTAGTAGTAGTAGTAGTAGTAGTAGTAGTAGTAGTAGTAGTAGTAGTAGTAGTAGTAGTAGTAGTAGTAGTAGTAGTAGTAGTAGTAGTAGTAGTAGTAGTAGTAGTAGTAGTAGTAGTAGTAGTAGTAGTAGTAGTAGTAGTAGTAGTAGTAGTAGTAGTAGTAGTAGTAGTAGTAGTAGTAGTAGTAGTAGTAGTAGTAGTAGTAGTAGTAGTAGTAGTAGTAGTAGTAGTAGTAGTAGTAGTAGTAGTAGTAGTAGTAGTAGTAGTAGTAGTAGTAGTAGTAGTAGTAGTAGTAGTAGTAGTAGTAGTAGTAGTAGTCGTAGTCGTAGTAGTCGTAGTAGTCGTAGTAGTAGTAGTAGTAGTAGAAGAAGTAGCAGTAGGTGTAGTAGTAGTAGTAGCAGTAGCACTAGCAGTAGCAGTAGTAGTAACAGTAGTAGAGTTGTCGTAGTAGTAGTAGTAGTAGTAGTAGTAGTAGTAGTAGTAGTAGTAGTACCCAAGAGCAACCTAGGAAGAAAAAAGGGCACCCGTTTTTGGCTTCGAGGGGGCTTCATAGGGAGCCTAAGAGCCCCCCAAAAGAGGGGGAAATCAGGGCCTGCTTCTGGGTCCTAGGTACTGGAAGAAGGTGATCGCGACGTACTGCCCGGCGGACGCAAAGCCGAGCTTGTCCAAGTTCGGCTTTGCGGCCCAGGACCTTAAGGACGAGATGAACCCCAAAATTAGGGTCATCTACTCTTTACTACTCTAATTCCTATTAGGGTATTGTGAGCCATAAACATGTGTATATATAAAAAACATGTATAACAATTTTAGGGTCAAAAACCCTATTCTGCTCTAATTCCTATGAGGGTATGATGAGCCATAAACCCTTTTAGGGTTCCTTTGGGTTTTTCAAGGGACATGCCCAAGAAGGCCAGGGAATGGGGCAGGCAGGTCAGCGCGCAAACCACCCATGGCAAGTCGTCCTCGGCTCCGAAGTCGTCAATGATGGCGTCCCGGAGTTGAGATTGGATGTACTCCTGGGGGAAGAAACTCGAGGCCCAACCCCCAAAAGATGCATAAGGAGGTGCTTTTGAGCAGCACTTTTGGCAAAAAGGGTGGGGATTTTAATGTGGGCTCCGAGAGTCATTGAAGCACTTGAGGCATGCTTCATGGTCCACGTAGCCCGTCACAGCGCGCACGGCCATGCGATCTGCTGGTGAAAGCACCTGCTGCAGCAAAGCAGAGGTAAACATTATTAGCCGGTTACCCTAAACCCTAAACCCTAAACCCTAAACTAGCCCCTCCTCAGGCCATATCACTGCTAAGCGAAAGAGCGGCCAAGGAGCCGGGAAGTTGAGGGAATCCAGGCCATCGTCCGACTCGCAAGCGTGTTCTGCATCGATCCCTACACTGATCATAGGCTCCTCAATGCCATCAAAAAGCTCAGCGACTTGCGTCTCGATGACGCTCCGGTCGCTCTCAAGGGAACACTGCGCGCAGCGGATGTTGAAGGACCGCATGTTTTCCAGCATCAGCTTGTGGCCATCAAGCTTTCTCTGAAAGGAGACCACGCTGATAATGACGGAAGGCACGAAGAAGATCAGGTAATCCTACTATTTACTTAAGAAGCCCCCCCACAAAAACAAAAATGAAAAACTAATAAATGATCCCCCTTATTCGAGCAACATAGGGATTATTACTTTTTTGGGGGGTGTTCTTAAGCACTCCTGGCTGTCGGCCAGGTAGGACACACACCGCTTGAGCCCCCACAAGAAGGCATCCCCACTGGCAGCCGTGTAGGTTGCCGTGTCGTTGATGCCATATTCTGGGTTGCACTCCTGTCTAGGGTTGTACCTAGAAAGCCCGTACGGTGGTACCCCTTGGGTCTTGGTGACCCTTTCCAAAGATCACCAAGGGTCTCTTCAGGGGAACCTTTAGCTGCTACAACCTTGCACTCCTATATAGTAGTTTAGGGTACATGACCCCCAATCTTGCCGGGCTCCTGTCGTCCTTACATGGCTCCTGGGCAGCAATATTCCCTAGGAGGAACTTATAGTAGCATAGGGTACATGATCCCAATTTTATAGGGCTCCTTTCGTCCTTATCACCCCTCCTGGGCAATGGCGAGAAGCCTTGCCCCGACGTACGCGAAGAGCATCTGGCTCAGGAGCCACGGCGCCAGCCAGAGCGGCACGAAGCGAAGCCCCGTGAGGCCCCGGCTCTTGACAAAGATCGAAAGCTCGAAGGTGCACCACAATCTCGCCTAAGAACGGACCCCCCCAAAAAAAACTCTAAAACAGATTCATTAAACATATGTTCCTTTCAAAAGAGAAGCCTCTCAAACCCAAGGATGAGAAAGAAAGAAAACGTCCCTTAAGGGCCCTAGTGGCAAAGTAAGTCTCGTCCCACAAGACCAGAAGCTGGGACGAGCAGGCCACGAAAGTGGGAAGACCCTCGATGCCTTTGGACTTGTGCAGCGCGTTCGTCTGATGAACGCACAGCCTGAGATTTGTTTAGGGTTTAGGGTTTAGGGTGTAGGGTGTAGGGTTTAGGGTTTAGGGTTTAGGGTTTAGGGTTTAGGGTTTAGGGTTTAGGGTTTAGGGTTTAGGGTTTAGGGAGTAGTTTGGTCCAAGGACGAGGATGGGTTGAATGGATTACGAGTTTGTTGAAGGGTGACTATGGTGGCCGTTTTGCTCTGCGCTCGCAGCATACCTGTGTGCGCTCTTTTCCGGGTTTTAGGGTCCACTGCTATGGTGACCCTCAAGCCCCTTGAGCCCCCCCCCCCCCCCCAAACCTTGGTGCAACATCCCTAATCCTAAACCCTAAGCCCTAAACCCTAAGCCCCTTAACCCTTCAAACCCTTAAACTCAAGCAAGAGAGGGACCCGTCCACCCAGAGTCGTGGGCACCAGAACCCGCAGGTCAGACGATGTCCGAAGAAGAAGACCACTGCGAAGACGAGCACAGGGAAGTCCATCGAAGCCAGGAACACCACCTGGGTTTAGGGTTTAGGGCTTCGGGCTTAGGGTTTAGGGTTTAGGGTTGGGGGTAGAAGGGTTGTAGGGGGGGTTGTAGGGGCTTTACGGGGTTTAGCGCTTTAGGGACCACGAAGTAACGACGCAGGGACACATAACTCCCGGTCAAGGGTACCCCTTGGAA